AGGGACCAAATCTCTTACTCCATTTTTTTTTTTTTCCTTATGGCAACTGGCTGGTATAGGGATTGAACTCTGCACCTTGGTGTTATCAGCGCCATGCTCTAACCAACTGAGCTAACCGGCCAGCCCCATCTTACTCCATTTGTAATCCTTCCTCTCCCACAAGAGAAAACAATGTCTATGCCTTCTAAAGAAGGAGGCGGTGTGGTCTCCCTAAGGTGGAGAAGATGCCAATTAGGACAGGAGGCAGAATTCCAGATGGGTAAGTAAAGACAGAGGCTCCTAAGAATACCAAAGAAGGCTAAGAACAGTTTCTATTGGAATAACACCTTTTGCTTTTCAAATAATCCTCACATTTTTTTCTAAGCATGTCCCTCTCCTAAGCTATCTCTGCTCTCACAGTGCACACATGTAGGGCCTGACTTATTTCTGATGATGGCGGAACTTCACACAGAGGTTATGTAGCTGTGAGAGGTCAGTAGCAGCATAGCCAGACTTTATTCCCATTTGCCCTTCAGATCAAGCCAGTGGGGGAAGCACTGACTGGTCCTATGATCTGACATCAAATATTCACTTGCTTTTGAACTGAGAGACACAGGTCACTATGGCTTCCTCTTGCTGGACAGTCAGATCCTGCCCACAGCCAGAGAGACCTGGCTTGGCTTGAAGATGATCATGGAGCATGTGCGAGACCACCCCTATTAGGGCTCTGGGGAATGAACGAACACCATTAAAATCGCTCTGGTTTGAAGCAAAGTTGGGTCGTCATTATTTCTTTTTCTAATCCTGATCTGGGAGCACCATTCCATCAGTTTCTGCCCTAAAACACAGCAAGCCACTGCACTGTCACCCCTCATCTTTTTTTAATACATCTTGAGAAAAATGCTCCCAACATCCTTAAAAATTTATTTTTACTGTGATAAGTTAAGAAATTTACCATTTTGATTTTTAAGCACACAATTCAGTGGAATTAAGTTACATTCACAATATTATGCCACCATCACCACTATCCATCTCTAGAACTTTTAAAAAATCATCCTTAAATGAAACTGTGTAGCCATTAAACAATAAGTCCCCATTATCCTCTCCCTCCAGTTCCTAATAACCAGTATTGTACTTTCTGTCTGTGAATTTGCTTAATCTAGGTACCTCATATAAGTGGTACCATACAGTATTTCTCCTTTTGTTTCTGGCTTATTTCACTTACCATAATGTTTTCAAGGTCCATCCGGGTTGTAGCGTGTGTCAGCCCCTTCACCTTAATATGTAGAATTTTAGAGTTAGCAATGGACTTTCAAGTTCATTTATTCAACAAGTACTAATTAAGCAACTACAGTGCCAGGCATTGTGCTGGGTGCTGTATCCTCTGGTCCCATTGCTGCCTTTTGCGTTTCCATTTCTGGTATGCTGCATTATACAAACTGGTGGGGACCCAAACCAATGACACTCCTTCCTGGAGTCTCAGCCCCTTCAAGTCTGGGTCTCTGCTTCCACACGGTTTGTCTTTAGACATTGACTTCCATTAGAGATTTAGATTTTCTTCATGTTGATGCTTTTCTCTGGGAGGAAAAGGTGAGAAGTAGATTTCCACTTGCCCAGAATTCTGGGCGCTTGATTCTTTCGCTTCACGTCTCTTGCAGATTCAGGTTTCAGTTTTTCTTGAAACTTCAAAGGTGAAATCTATCTCGGTGAAGTAGAGCCCAAACTTTGTGTGGACAGGGTGGGTGTAGGAACGGAGGATAAAAGAGCCCGGAGGGAGGAAGAGGAGACAGAGGCCCCCAGCTCCACAACTCCTGACAAAGGCTGTCTCCTGGACCGCACTTTTAGACTCTGCACCCTCTTTTTGACTAGGCTGGCTCTTGGGCCCTGTCTAAGCCAGTCTCAGCAGAGATCCTGCTAAGTTGTCCCTCCCTGCCCCACCGCCCCGCCCCCTTGATAACTTTTTTTGGCAGCTGGCTGGTATGGGGGTGCAAACCCTTGGCCTTGATGTTATAACAACGCCCCCCTTGATATCTGATCACGTTCCTCATCCCCCACATTTGATGTGTAAGTCCTTGGCCTGCCTTTAGCAAGAATCCTGTTAGGCCAGTTTAGCAACAAGCCCCCCTACCCTTGACGTCTCCTCTTTGTCATTTTCCACCCATTGACCTGCTCACTCTGCTCTCTTTCTTTGCCCTATTTGGACTTTAGCACAATTACTCTCTCCTATTGCAATAGTCATGACCCTTATTGCATAAATCTTCAATAAAGTCTTCCCTACTGTTTTAACAAATATCAGAATAATTTTTCTTTAATGCTTCCAATCATGACCCTTGGTTGTGTCTACTCTGCTTGGACAATGGGATGGGGGAGCCTTGTGGGAATTGGAGCTCCCAAGACAGACTCAGAGGCCCCAGAGCCCCTGAAGAAGTCATGGGGATCATGAGTGTCTTTCATTTATCCTGCTGGGACTTGGTGGAAAGGACACATCAGACTCAGAGTCTAGCAAACATAAGCAAATCTTATTATTAATAAGACCATTAAGCCTTACTTGTAGTGCAGACCCCAAGGAAAACTGATAATTTATTCAGACTAACACATTGTTCCTATCCCATTTACCTCATATGTTTTCATTTTCTTAGTGGAGTCATAAGAATCAGACCTCAGACCCATAAAAGAGTTCACAAACTCTCCTCATTATGACCTGCCCTGGTGAAATTCTCTGGCAGGGCTTGTTAAGTATGTGGTCTTGTAGCTGGCTTGGGGTTGCTTTGATAGTCTTCACTTTTTTATTACTCTAGAGACAATTGCATCCCAGGTTTACCATCTGGCCTCTCCTATCAGTATAAATTCCATCCAGCACTGTGGGACTTTCCTATTTACTCAAAAAACACTATTTACATGCCAAGCAATGAGCAATATGGCACCCTTGGCACAGACTTTTCCAGCCTGTGGAGCAAGTTCCTGACCTTGTAAATCGAGAGGCTTGGCCTTTATCACTCAAAAGGAATGGAAGAGGCATTGGCGGGTGCCTGCCTGTGGGCTGTCAGAGTCGCAAGGGTGCTTGGGAATCACAGTAGCATTTTTGAGGACGTGAGTATACCTCACACTACTTATAAATACAGCTTGACTCAGCCACTGTGTGACTGACACCCTTGGGACATGAAGTGGATACTATTCTTTGGGGCCCTTATTGGGCCCAGCATCTGTGGTCGAGAAAAATTTTTTGGGTAAGTTCCTTTTTGATTTACTTTTATTTTTATAAATTTGGTGATTTAAGAAATATGCGAGTCGACTGGGATTGAGAATGAATGGCTGATTGTACCTCAAGTGGTAGGGCATTGGGGGAAGAAGACCTGGGCTCTTGTCCCAGCTTTGCCCCTGTGTCATCCTGGACAAGTCGCTTCTCCTGCCTGAGAACCAATTTCATCTGTGAAATCAGGACTAGGTGGTCTCCACAGTCCCTCCTCAGCGCCCTAATCTCCTGAAATTATTTTTTCCCCCTAATTCTTATTTGTAAGGTCAGTTCCAGGCATCTCCTACTTTCTTACTCCTACGTTAACTTCTCCTGCCTGAGAACCAATTTCATCTGTGAAATCAGGACTAGGTGGTCTCCACAGCCCCTCCTCAGCGCCCTAATCTCCTGCAATTTTTTCCCCCCCTAATTCTTATTTGTAAGGTCAGTTCCAGGCATCTCCTACTTTCTTACTCCTACGTTATTCATTATTAAAAATTACCAGAAATTGTTTCTAATATCTGCCGTGCTTAAAGGGGAAACTTTTAAAGGCTTCTGGGTTTTGCCTCTGTGTTGATGGTGAAGGCTTTGCGGACCTGGTGCTTCCTTGTTGACTCCTAGGATGTGAAGATTTAATAGGTCTTGACTCGCCACAGCAATGGACACACAGGGACACGCACCTGCGCACTGTGCGTGTGTGTGCTGTGTGTGTGTGCTGTGTGTGTGTGCACGCACACATGCTCAACACGCTCCGCACAGAAAGCTTTGACGTTTGCAAAGGAGAGGAAATTTGGGAGTTAGAAAAGATGAAAGGGTGCCACGGTGCCCTGCTAGAAGGTTGAATTATAATGACTCATTACTGCATAATGTGTGTGTGTGCACGCACACATGCTCAACACGCTCCGCACAGAAAGCTTTGACGTTTGCCAAGGAGAGGAAATTTGGGAGTTAGAAAGGATGAAAGGGTGCCACGGTGCCCTGCTAGAAGGTTGAATTATAATGACTCATTACTGCATAATGCTTTGCCATTTGCAGAGAGCTTACGTGTACATTATCTTTTGGATCACGCAACAACTCTGCCAGGCAGGGGTGTTATTTTCCTCAATTTAAACCTGAAAAAACTCAGCCTTAGAAAGGTTGAGGAACCAGCCTAGGGCCACTTAGCTGGCAAGCAGGGAAGGAAGAACTCTGAATGCAAAACCCACACCCTTTTGCTGTAAAACTAGTTAATCTCCAAAAGAATCCTGTATCTCGCTGATCTACCTCTATGTATCAGTTTACTCTCTACTATACTCTCTGGCTAAAGGGACTTTGGTATTGTTTATTGAGGTAATTACTTATATGAGATTGAGTAATTTTTATGGTGATGACTTCTGTTCGCACCTGTGACTCTACTGCCAAATAGCTCCGAGGGGTTAGGCGTAGCAGGTGGCCAGGGAAGGAGATTTTTCCACAGGCAGCTCAGCAGTAGGTGTGTCACCACTACACTCATGGCCGTGTGGGCTGATGCCTGGAGCTGTCAGGCTCCCACAGCAGCTATCCGTGCGGCTGAAATATCTCTGTTTCTCAGGATATAGACCTCTCTTGCAACGCAGTGGGCACCTGGGCGGGGCCCTCGAGTGCTCACCTTAGGAGTGTTGCACAGAAGGGTCTGTGCACCTGAGCTGATGGCAGATGGCTTCAACCAATAGTGTCATCCTCACTCCAAAATCTGTTCTCACCTCATAGTAGGGAACCAGCAAAAGTGGTGGAATCCTTCCCAGGGTCAATAGACATTCCCAGACACCCAGCTCAGGGGACATTTAGAGCAAAGGGAAGCTGGCCTCTGAGCATTCAGGAGGTTGGGAAGCCAGGACACTGATTGACTGGTGGAGGTGAGGATGGTTTCTCCTGCCACCCAGTCTTCCTTCCTTCCACCTGGCTCACCTACCACCCCAGTCTCTCTTCCTCTGCTGGTGTCTTTTGCCCTGGTCTTCAGTCATCTTAGGAACGGAACAATGGCCAAGATGCTGGAGGTGCTGGGCGGCAGAGAACAGGAAGTAGCTGCAGAACTGGCTGTAGCATTGACAGTAGCTGGCAAGCATATAAGAGTTCTGTGATGCCATCTCTTAATGCTGCTCATGGTGGCTGGGCATGCAGTGAGAACGGCACAAAGGCTGGGCCACGTGGCTGCCTGCACGGAAGGGGGCGGATCATTGTGGAAGGGGGCTCAGTCATCAGAGCAGTTATTGACTGTCCAGCACATGGGACAAGCATGGGGGTGAGTGAGAGCAGACCACCAACCACTGTGTTGGCAGCAGCTGGACAGCCCTAGGTACTGAAAAGGGTCAGAGTTAAGAAGAGCTGTCTGGAGCAGGAGGGGAGGACATGGTAACCTGCAAACCCATGTGTCCCCCCTCCCAGGCCAATCTTCCATCTTCAGGAAGAACTCAAGGTCTTTGAATGAATTTTCAGATTGTGGAGATAGGGTGTGCTCAACCATCTACACACTCAGGACCTGGAGCGGGTATTTTCCAAATAGAGACAAGGACAACAAGGGCGAGCAAAAGGCTGTCCTTTGCATGGCACCCCAGTTATGTTCTCTCTGCGTTCAGGTATTGAGTGGTCATGTTCATAAGAATACTGTTAGACCTGCCACCACTGCCAATTTTTAGCGTGATCTGAAGACTCTACTCAACTGCTCTGCTGGTGAGGGAAAGCTTCATGAGGATGTGAACTGGTCCTGAAGACTAGGTGGGAGATTGGCTGGCAGACAAGGGAAAGGGCACTGCAGGCAGAGAGAACAGCATGGGCGAAGGCACACAAGCGCCAAAGTAGACAGTGAATTTGCGATTTCAGTGGGGCTGGAGCCAAGAAGGTGGTGAAGGGAGAGGTGGAGGAGAGGCAGATGGGGACAGGCTGCCCCAGCCCTACTGCCTTGCCTCTCTGTGCACTACTGATGTCTCTTTCGCCTCTGTAGCTGGGCTGACTAGAGCCTGATGAAACCGGTTGTGGATATCATCTTCGGGGCCAGTTCAAGTCACTGTGTTCCATTGTTGTGGAATGTGCCCAGGAGTACAGAGGTTCTGAGGTGAAGTCATCACTTGGGAAAAAATAAAATGCATGTGCTGGGTGAATGCATAACATGGTTTTCATACTTCAAAGAGCTTCTATTCTTCTGTCTCTCTTTTTTTCTCCTCCTGTTCCTTCTCCCTTCCCTCCTCCTTTTTGATTGCTCAGTGTTGTATTCTATAAATGCCTAATTTTGCTAATTGAGACATCAACATATGGGTTTTTTCTAGAACACCCATTTTTAAGATGCCCCTTTTCCTGGAGTGTTGGGATAGGTTGTGACAAAGCATGAGTTTGGCAGACCTATTCCGGTCCACAGCCAGGAATAAGGATTTCCCTTCTGTTTTAAATCCATCCCTTTTTTGTGAGGCTGCCTGCCCCCGTCAGGGAAATGGTGGTTTGATTCCCCATCTTCCCAGGGCTGCAGTCCAACCCTTAGCAAGCCTGTTGGGTTCAGAATAAGACCTGCCCAGTCAGAGACTTCTCCACCAGGCCCTCAGCAGCTCTCATGGGATGCCCTCAGCTGCCCACCTCCAGGACCCTGTGGCGAGAAAGCGAGACTTCAGCACCGGCCTCTCCTCCAGACCTGCCACCTGCAGCAGGAGCAGCCCTGCAATGACATTGTCTCCTTGGGGCTCGGCTAGATCCCCTGGAGAGCCCCCAGAACCTTCCAGAACCAAGTGAAGCTCCAAGAGTCCATCCGGACGGAACCGGTTTTGGATGAGGAGCTGCCACGTGAGGCTGCACGTTTAGCTCCCTGTGACAGAGCCATTTACTCTGTCAACAGGTCCTTCAGCCCACAGCAGCTCTTCCCGCATTCACTCATGTCAAAGGGATGACGCATGTGACAGCATCGAGTGCGGTTTCATTTGGGCCGTCACCTAGCAACGGCCTAATGGCTCCCCAGGCTCCCTGAGCAGGCTGCGAGCACAAAAGCAGCTTTTCAGACCCGGCTTCCTCCCACCCACACGCAGGACTTGGGGGGCCTCTACCCCTGCCGCTGCTGCGGAAGCTAAATGATGTGTATGAAGCAAGTGCGTGACAAATGACAAAGGGGCTGGGGCGAGCGGGCCCTTTCTGGGTCCTCTTAGGGCTCCACGGGCAGCAGCGAGTCCCAGGTTCACCCTGGGCCGTGGGGTGGGGGGTCCGTCGTGATGCGCATGCGCACAGGTTCTGCAGCTGGGCGGATCGAGAGCGCAGCAGCCTCGGCCTGTTTTAAATTTTCGGGGTTCGGCCGCCAGCCCTTCCGGGATGGAGGCTGCTCTCCTTTCCAGCTCTTCCCAGCGTGGAGGTTCCGCCAGAGTTCAGTCCTTGCCCCTGACAGTGAAGAAGTGCTTCATGTCTTGAGTTAGCCTTGCGTGTAACTCAGGAACATTCCTTTCTGTTAAATATATATGTTTTTCATTATAAAGTAATATGACCACGTTACAGAAAACAGATACGAGGGAAAAAAAGTCAGTCATCCATAATCCCACGACCCGAGCATAAGCACTGTCAGCAGTTGGCCTATTTCCGTTGTCTGTTTTTCTTCCAATGCATCTGCTTTTTCCATACTTGTAATCATGGCATACATACAATTTTGTGTCCTGCTCTTTCACTTAGTATTTCCCTTAAAGTTATACCATAAGCACTTTTTCATATTTGCCACGTAGTCTTATTTTTAATGGCTATACGTTATACCCCAAGACTAGACCATTTCCTCTTATTTGGCCCAGTTATGTCTGGGATTGTAGGCTTGGGAGTTATTTGCCAGCTGAAAGTTCACCATTATCTTTTGCTTTTTCTTTCTCCTTAAGGGACCAAGTTTTTAGGATTAATGTCAGAAATGGAGACGAGATCAGCAAACTGAATCAGTTAGTAAATTCGGACAACTTTAAGGTACTTGGTTCTTCTTAGTTCTCCTGGGTGTTTAACTTTGGTGGGAGAAGACTCTTGTACTACCAGCATTATTATTTTTATTTCCGAAGATTCTCTGTGTGTAATCCTGTATTAGTCAACATGCCATTTACACAAGTGAGAGGGTTGACGGGAGAGAAGAAGCGCTGAAGGCCACAGCAGTGCTGTCCTGGGAGGTGGGAGGCCCGCGCAGTGGGCTCCATCATTCTAGCTGCCTTCCACTTACTAGTTCTTGGAGTCTGCTAGGCAGTGCTTGCAGGGCAGGCCTGAGCAGGTATCACTGTGAAATGGTCACAATTTACCCTTGGGCAGAACCCAGCCCCTCAGGGATCACCCTGGCTCTTGGCAGTGGTTCTCGAAGAATGAGCTCATTGTGCCTTTTACCTGAACTGTCCTTTAACCTGGTTTTATTTCTGTTCCCTTCAGCTCAATGTCTGGAAATCTCCCTCCGCCTTCGGCGGGCCTGTGGACGTCTTGGTCCCGTCCGTCAGTCTACAGCCAGTCAGATCTTTCCTGATGTCTCAGGGCTTGGAGCACTCAGTGACAATTGAAAACCTGCAGGTTGGTAGGCTGAGGCCCCTCCTTGTTCTTGCATAGGACCAAGCAGCCAGGCTAGAGTGGACCTGAGAGATTTTCAAATTCTGGTTACCTTTTCCATTTCACAGATGAAGAAATTGAGGCGAATGGAAGTAAAATGCAGTGATTTGTTAGAGGAACATGTTGTGGTAGTGAGGGCATACATAGGTTAGGGAACCACTCACGATCTGGTCTCCAATCGTGATTTTGCTGACTATGAGTGCTGTGACCTTGGACAAGCTATTAACCTTCTGTGCTTCTGTTTCTTCATCAGTAAAATGGTAATCGTGATATCTACTTCATGTGACTTATTTATTTATTTTTTTTCCTTTTTGTCCTTTTTACTGACTGGTAACGGGATCGCGACCCTCGGTGTCGCGCCCGTACCGGGGACCGGCAACGGGATCGCAACATGATATCTACTTCATGTGACTTATTTATTTATTTTTTTTCCTTTTTGTCCTTTTTACTGACCGGTAACGGGATCGCGACCCTCGGTGTCGCGCCCGTACCGTGGACCGGCAACGGGATCGCAACCCTCGGTGTTGCGCCCGTACCGCGCTCAGCCAGTGAGCGGGAACCGGTCTCCACATGGGATCCGAACCCTCGGCGGGAGCACCGCCGCGCTCCCAAGCGGCGCACTCTCCAGTGCGCCACCGGGCTGGCCCTCATGTGACTTATTGAGAAGAGTCAGTGATTGAATGTATGTAAAATATCTGGCAGTGCCCGGTACATCAGAGATATGCCATTAAGTAATAAGTCCCTCTCTCTTTTCTTATTTGAAGTCAGGAGGCAAGAGCAGACTCTTATTGAGAAGAGTCAGTGATTGAATGTATGTAAAATATCTGGCAGTGCCCGGTACATCAGAGATGTGCCATTAAGTAATAAGTCCCTCTCTCTTTTCTTATTTGAAGTCAGGAGGCAAGAGCAGACTGGGGGTAGGGGGAGGATATTGGAGACCAGCCATAAGAAGCACCTTTGAGGAAGGGAGAATGTCACCCACAGCCCCCAACAGAGGGAATGTCGTCATTCCAGCCTCACGACCTGTGTCTGAACAGCAGGACAGTGTCTGGCTCACGCGCTTTCCTTCACCGAGGTGGGTTATGGACTAATTGGTGATTTGGCCTGCGAGTTTCCTGATGGCGTGAGCAGCTGTGAGCTTATTAATCATCCTCACATGTCACGGACATCTGCCAGGAACCTTCAAAGTATGAGTGGTTATAAGAATTTCTTTGTTTCTGAATGGTTTTCCAAGCCGCAATTTTCAGAGACACTGGATACCAGATGCAGGCTGATGTCTAGAGAATTCATACTATAGAATAACCAAATAGCACATATGTGGCTTCCAGGGAGTAAGTAGGTTTTGAATGGGTGATATAAACTGGGCACCAAAAAGTAAAATTTTATAGATACATGAAAGAAATCTGACCTCCTTTTAAATCTTGAAATTTGTGCTGCTTGATATGCTGAAGGTGCCACCATCTTGGCTGGCCCCTGTGCCAGGATATGACAGAAAAAACAGGAACCAATGAATGACTTCACAACATTGCTGTGTCTGTTTTTAGGCTCTTTTAGATAATGAGGTTGAAGAAATGCAACACAATGAAGGGCAAGAACGGAGCAGCAGTAACTTTAACTATGGGGCTTACCATTCTCTGGAAGCTGTAAGTATCTCCTGTTCCATACATACAGGTTAAGATCCAGGTTCTCTGGCTCCTGAATTTTGAAACCGCTGTCCTTACTTCCAGGAGGTATTAGTCTTCAGCGTAATATCACTTCACTGAGGGTCTAAAATGTGCACATTTCAAGTCCTTTCTAATTCTTGGGTTGCTTACCTCCCACCAGCACCTAAGAGCATAGTAAAACACTAACTGGACATTTTCTCCCACATGCGGCCTTCTTCTCTTAAGCAACACCTTAAAGGAAACCATGAAATAATTATGATCATTTCCAGTCTTCGTAATTTAACCTTCTTCTACCACCATAATCTCTCTATTTTATTCAGAGTAAAATGTTACTTATTCCAGGTAAGCAGACAAGTGGTTATTTGCAAGGTTAAACAAATATTTCCACTCATTTATCATGACTACTTGTAATGTATATTTGTTCCATAATGCATTAGTGCTGTTTAGTTAGAAACAACTTGATATAGATGACTGCCTTTCAAGGTAAGCCAAACCTTCGTATGAAAAACTTGGAGCAGAATAATTTCATATGATATTGGAACTTAAGAAGTCAGGAGGGACTATAGAATGGAACTGCATTGTGCACAGTACAGTTCCCTTATGCCCCTCAGTGCCTTCATCATTAGTCTGCAAACTCTCTGCTAGCTCAGGAACACAGCCCCAAACCTAAACTGGTGTTCTCCGTCATACGCAGTAATGCATGGGGTTGTTCTTTACATACAAACGTGGTGTTCATGCCATGCATTTCGTGAGGCATGCACTTTGAGTTGCTTTTTTTCTAGACAGGATTATTTCAAAGGTTGACCAACTATTTCCGCTTGTTTCCCATGATTGTCAGTAGCTTTGTTTAGTGTGTACATTTCCAACTGCACTGCCCCTTGATCCCTCTTGTGACCAATGACATACATCTGCAAAACAGCTGGATAAAGTTAGAAGTTCAGTCTTGGGCCATGGATGAAAGCAGAGCTCAGGGCCCTCACAGGAATCAAACCCATGACGTTAGCCTCATTAACACGGAGCCCTCCCCAGCTGAGCTAACCAGTTGCAAATGTCACCCAAGGCTCTGGAGGGACCATCTCCACACCTGCCTGCTGCTGGGGCCTCACTTTCTCACCCACTCACCTCTGATTTCTCTGGCATTAGGTGCCCTTTGCAGTCTGGTTTGCAGCTATCTCTTGCTCTCTGTGAGGCCTTTTGCTGTGGACTGGTGGGCTGTCTTCCTCTCAGCTTGATCATATTCGGTTCTTTCTACAAAATAGCTCTTAAAAGCTCATATCCTACAACCACCTAGGCTTTCTTAGGTTTCTAATGGGAATTTCATGTTTGTCTCTGCCACGGTTCCTGGTTCCCAGTCCTTTGTGTGTGTTATGGTGGTGATAGCAGTGGGAATTTGGACCCCACATCAGGACACAACTTGGTGTTTTAGCTTTTCCTGGGTGTCTCTCTTTCCTCTCATGGCTTAGAGCAGCCATCCTGCTTTTCTTCTATTCTCTAGGGCTAGTGGGTAGATTGGGTAGAATTTCCAGGACCTTCTTGTGGCTGGAATTGCCAGTTCCCGGCTCTCAAGTTCCAGCCTCTTGCCCTAGGTTGGGTCCTGTGCCCTCTACACCTCAGGCAGATATTGGTTCTGTGGCTTCAACTCCTGGCCCTCCGCCTTGGTAGTTAGTTCCCGTTTCTGGCACTTACATTTTCCCCTTTTTAGCTTTTGAACTTGGCTGTGAATCACTTTCATTGCGTTTTATCTGGCTTCTACATGTACATGGGGATGGCATCTTGCTTCTGTTCAGACTGCCACATTGACTTAAAGGTTTGAGAAACCCTTTAAGCTTGATTTTATTCTATATTGATGGCACATTTTCCTTCTCTGTGTAGCCCCTTTTTCCAGTCTTAAGGACTAAACAAATGCATTTATTTATTTCCTTCTTTTGACCTTCAGATTGTTTGAGCAACTATGGATAAACTCTATTTAAATCAAACTTTTTTTTCTCCCCCCACTGGAAGCAAACGGGAGTATTCTTAGCCACTATTTACACCTCTTCAATTGCTCTCACAAAGCCTTCAGAAAAATGATCTCCATAGTGGGGTGCCTATAGCACAGGATATAAGTGAGATGGTCCACTGGGATGGAGGAAGACATGATTACAACTTCTATTTATATTCCTACTTGTATTTATACTTATTATTAACACAACTGTTTTTATTATTTTTTATTTTATAATGTACATCATATATTTGTATGGTAGTATATATATATATATACACACACACACATGGTGTGTGCTCATTTTTTTTTTTTTTGGCTGATGGAGAAAGTGATCACAAAAGTTTGGAGAGTACTGCTGCCGAGAGACTTGGCCAAGTGGGGCTGTTGCTGGCTATCCCAGTACAGTGCAAAGGATCACACTGTTGAAGCAATATCTGCCTAATTCTCTCGACTCTAGTTTAAAGTTTTGTGGACAAATAAAATGTGTTATTCTCTAGAAAGTTGTAGAAAAGGGCTCTTGAGTCAGTTCCTCGTAATAAGCATTTCATGCCGATAATATGGTCAGCCCCAAGGTTAGGGGTCCAGAAGAAATCATTAAAAGACCAGTAAGATCGAGTTCACCCACACCCATCCGGAGTGAACAAATTTTTAAAATGCACTTGGGTTCACTTTTTCACACTTCAGATTTACCAGGAGATGGACAGCATTGCCACAGATTTTCCTGGTCTGGCAAGCAGAGTGAAGATTGGACATTCCTTTGAAAACCGGCCAATGTATGTGCTGAAGGTGAGGCCCACGCATGCTGGTGAGTCCTGACTGGACTCAGGCTCCTGGGTTCTCATGTCCAGGATCCAGCCCTCAGACCTCTGAAGGAGGCAGCTTTTTAGACTCCTTAACTACAGGGAGGAGAGTGAGGGGGCGAGATTTCTTATTGGGCTAGAATTTGGTCTGATTGAGAGTCCCCAGCTTTTGTCTAATTGGGATAATTGGAAGGAGCATGTCTCATTCCAAGTGTGACTGAAAAACAAGATTAGAGGGGAGGCAGTTAGTATTCCAAAAGCTCTCAGATGGGCCAGAGCTTTTTGCCTTCATTTCCAACTTCTGTAAATCGCAAGACAAGTTGGGATAGGCCAATGAACTCTATTGTGCTTTCAGGGGTACTTACTGGAAAAATCAACCTAGGAAGCTAATTTTAGGGTTGATGTCATTTTAAGCCTAGCCTGTGGTCCTTGGCTGCACAAAGCCTAATTTCCAGATATTTTGAACAGATTCAGGTCTATATTGGCAAAGGAAGTAGAGAACTAAGTCAGTGACATAAATTACCTAAATAACTCAGCTGAATGAAAATCAAAAGGAATTTGGGCTATAGACCATGGAACAACTGATGGTGCTAAGAATTTGCCAAACCCTTAGTTCCATATAAGCCCCAAAGACCCAGGTTTATGGCAGTGAGCAAATTACCATCAGGAAAGAGACCTGCCACTAAGCTGGTTGCTCTAAAATAATTACATTTAGATTATTTGCCAATCTGATGGAGACCCTGGCATTGTTAGCACCAAGCTATGACACAAGGGGCCCAACACTGTGGCAAAGGCAAGAGCCGGAATTCATTATGCCATTTACGAAGAGCTATAGTGAACCCCCCTTCTTCCTAATTTAAAACCAAATTCATTTATTGCATTAACTAGAAGAGCCAGGTTTGCGTACCCTTGTGTCTCTCTCTGTTGGGATACCAATTGAGGCCTTTCAAGAGACATAAAATTATCTCTAATCACACAGGCGTTATAATCCACAATAACAATTGTTTTCCCTTCCCATGTGCTCCAAATGCTGGAGAGGTTCAGGCTGCCCGGAGCCAACCAATTAAGCTCCCGGTCACGGATAAGCCCACTAAATAGATGGCGCTCTCAGGAACATTTGGTCTTTGAATTATGGTTTGCGTACCCTTGTGTCTCTCTCTGTTGGGATACCAATTGAGGCCTTTCAAGAGACATAAAATTATCTCTAATCACACAGGCGTGTTATCCACAATAACAATTGTTTTCCCTTCCCATGTGCTCCAAATGCTGGAGAGGTTCAGGCTGCCCGGAGCCAACCAATTAAGCTCCCCGGTCACGGATAAGCCCACTAAATAGATGGCGCTCTCAGGAACATTTGGTCTTTGAATTACCTTAAATGAAGTAAATGAATAGGAGTGAGTTGGGGAGAGGAGAGGTGAGTGGAGAGGCGGGCAGCAGGTCTTTTTCTGCCCTCATTTCCCTTCTGCAGTTCAGCACAGGAGGTGGTGAGCAGCGGCCGGCTGTTTGGCTGAACGCAGGCATCCACTCCCGAGAGTGGATCTCGCAGGCCACCGGGATCTGGACGGCGAGGAAGGTCATGTCGCCTGGTATTAGCCAAGAATTCTGGTGGGCCCAGGGGGCCCCCACAGCATCCCATCCATGTTGGGTTGGTTGGGCCCTGGGGACAAGGTAGGAGGGTGCTCTGCACAGACCCAACAGGCTGGGGGGCCTTTTCAGATTGGAGAAGCAAATGGTGAAAGCCCCCTTGGTTGGCCCACCGTGGCTAAATGACAAATGTGTTCGTGGCCATGAGTGAGCTAATGAGGAGCAGAGGTGGACCTGAGACACTGACCTGCAGTCAGCCCTGCAGAGATGGAGTAGAGAAGAACTCAGATGAACATTGCCCTCAGCTCCAGGCAGGCCCACAGGTCCTCAGGGACCTCACGCTGTCCCCACGTCCCTCTGGAAAGTGCCTTAAGCCAGTGCTGAGAGAGGAGGATGGTGCATGTGCAGGGTCATCTTCCCTACCTCTTCTTCGGGGACTCAAATTCCTGAAGAAGCACTCTTCTGGGCCCCTCCTCTTGGAAGGAATGAATAGGCGGACACCCAGGACTCAGTGCAGTTGATGTCCCCAGGTTTTGAAGGGCTCAGAGGGCTTTGCAGAGAGCCGTGCCTGTGAGGGTGGCAGGGGTGCTTTGGAGGGTGCATGCTGTTTTAGGAACATCCATTCTAGGTGTGGATTGGAAGATACAGGGCTTAGACCTAGCAACCCAGCCTGCAGTGGTACAGCTGACAAACACGTTGTCTCCACTTAGATTGTATCTGAATACCAGAGGGATCCAGCCATCACCTCCATCTTGGAGAAAATGGATATTTTCTTGTTGCCTGTGGCCAATCCTGATGGATATGTGTACACGCAAACTCAAGTGAGTAATCTCAATTGCTCTGGGCTTGGAGTTCAGATTGTTTGTTGAATTCCTCGCTTTGCCACTAACTGTCTGACCTTGGAGAGAACTTCCACAAATGTGCATGTTATGAGTTTCCTTGGGATTTCACTTTTTATTCATTCTCAGAGCTGAGAATCACCAGGGAATATTTTTTCTGAGAGAGCATAGTTGAATGAATTCCATATTATGGGTCTTGAGCCATTATCAGCATTTTACCAATCTCTTTTTTTTTTTTCATTTCTTTCCCTCCCACATATTTTTTTGACATATTTTAAAACAAATCCCAGACATGATGTTATTTCACCCAAAACTACTTTAGTGTGCATCTCTAGCTGGTGATAATAAATAAACCAAACCCCAAACAACAAAAACCCCAAACCCACTACACCACTATCACCTTAAAAAAATTAACAGAAGTTCTTTAACATCATCTGACACCCCCAATTATTTTAAAATTAAGATAATTTTCCTTTGAGAGTCAATTTGTTCAAGTAAGAATCCAACAAGGTCTCCACTCTATCTGGTGGCTGTGTACCTGCAGTCCCTTTTAGTCTACAAAAGCACCTCCCACACATCCTTCAAAGATTCATTTATTGGAGACACTGAGTAATTTGTCCTGTACATTGTCTCACATTCTGCATTTGGCCGATGGCTGCTTTGTTGTGTCATTTAATTTGATTCCTTATCCCCTGTATTTCTTATTCACTGATGGTCAGACCTACAGCTTGATTGGATTTGGGTGAATTTTTAGGCGAGAATAAGGTAGATGCTGTGTACTTCCTGTCACACCAAGATCATCAAGGCACATAATGTCCATTTGTCCCACTTCTATCAAAGCCAAAAGTTATTCAGTGGGTTCAGGTGGTATCAGCCTGGTTCTTGCATATGAAGTTTTCATCAGGGCATTTTCGGGGAGTCCTTCTCCTAGAGCCAGAAGGGCAAAACCTCCTCTCTGGGGATAAGAGGAGACTGGCCAACAGTGAGGGTTGGCGCTCAGCTGGCCTCCAGGCCCCTCCATCATGCTCATCTCCATCTCAGGTCCCCAAAGAAAGCCCCCATCTCTTCTGTGCCCTGGCCCACCTCTAGATGTTTGTTCCTTCCCTGGTGCTTTTTCAGAACCGATTTTGGAGGAAGACACGGTCCGTAAGTCCTGGAAGCCCCTGCATTGGCGTTGATCCAAATAGAAACTGGAACGCTAGTTTTGCAGGTAGGTTGGCAAATCCTGCCGCCCCCGGAATGGCCCGGTCCCCCGGACTCCAGGCTGGCAGGGAGGGCGCCGCTTTCCATTGATGATCCACAGGGAGACTTAGGCATATCCCTTATCCTCTCTGTGTCTTAGTGTTTTGTTTTTAAATTTTATTTTTGTGATTTTGAAAGGGAATGATTCAGTAATTCCTCTTCTCCTGAGAGAATGGTGGGACAGAGAGTCTTTACATTGTGCTTCAATCTACGCTACTGTCTTGAAAACCACTCTTGTCTTAGATGCATGAGGGCCTTCTTTGTCCCTGGTCATACCAACTCCTCCTGGGCAAGTCGTGGCAGGTGGAGGGCTCATGGTGGCAACTCAGAGGAGAGCGGTTAGCACTGGTGTCCTGACAGGCAAGATCAGGGTGTGAAGATGAAATCCAGCCATTTGCACTTAGACGTGTGAATATGAACCTTGGCAGCTTGCTATGACGGAAAGAGAATGAGATTAGGCGACCTGGGTTCTGAGTTGCAGTGATTTAAAAACCGTTCCCCACTTAAGTGCCAACCATGTGCCACGCCCATAAATATGTTATTTATTCTTCTTACCTAGTGAGTGAATTTTACTATTTGAAATTAGACAATTAAAGCTCAGAGACAATCTCAAGATCATATGGCTGGTGAGAATTATGATGTAAACTCACTTTCCGACTCTGAATTCAAATAGTTTTCTTTCACTATGTCACTACTGTACTGTTTTGTTTTTAATTTACTTCTTTTACTTGCATAGAAATACCACAAAAAACCAATGGGGGAAAGATAACGACTGTGGGAAAGGAGCTCATAGGAACATGGGAACCAAGGGCATCGAAATTAGGTTAGATATTTCCACAACCGGAGTGGCTTCACTCACACACACGCACACACACATGCACACGCGCACACACGTGCACACGCACACACACGCACACACACGCGCGCACACGCGCACATGCGCACACACACGCACACACACGCGCACACACGCGCA